TGTAAGAACAAGAATATGGGTGCCTTTATATGTGTCTGTCTAGCCCCCTCTTGTCTCCTTTGACTGGGAGTGCCTGCTTCCTGGCCTTGTTTCCAACCGGAGATTGCTGGGGACTAAACTTCAGACCAAAAACAGGTGAGGACAAAACATGGCTCCCATCCCTCGTTTCGGGGGGGGGGGGATGGCTAAAAAAGACAAAACTCCCACAGTGGCCATTAAAGCATGCACGCGCAACTTTCCATGTTTTCACTGTCCATCGAGATTATATAAGAACTTGATCGCTGAGGTTGAGCAAAGCTTGCTGAATGAACAACAGGTCTGGGAACGAACTTGACAGGTCAAACCTTGAAAAATGTAAATAAAATCCAGCCAACTCAGGAGGTGGGAAATAAAGAAGAGATTTTGCTTGGCTCCGATAGAATTGCAGCACATACTCCTAAATGCAGAGGCAGGAGAGGGTCACGGTTGTCATTAAGAGCAGATTGAAGCTAAAAATAATAATAATTAGCTGAGGTGCTTTAAATGCTCTAAAAGAGTGGAAGGCAAAAGGTGGTTCAATATATGGAGGGCCAGGGAGGGCAAAATAATGGCTTTTAAAAGATCCGCTTTCCTTTCGACAAGCAGAGCCGAAGGGTGTCTGTATTAGAAAGCAAACATCCTTAACACAACCATTCAGACCTGAGCATTTATTCTTTTTTTTAAAAAGGGACCTTTTTCAATCATGATTTCTGAACTCCGATGTTCCTGGCTTTCATTTATGCTTTTTGTGCAGGGGGAGGGGGGAGGGAAAAGCTTTAGGAGAATCAGATTTTTCTATATTTTATCCATAGTCTTGAATAAAACATGTCTTTATGAGACCAGATTTCTTAATTCACACTGCCCCCTGGTGGCAGATCGGGAAACTGCCACATAGGAAATCCACCCAAAGGATGATGATCTGAGGATGAGTTAATTTATTTTTTCTCCAAAGGCCAGATCCGGCGTCTCCCCATCTTTCATGAGTTCAAACTGGGCACACTTGCGATCAGTGAGGTGTTTAAAGGGCAATCAGAAAACTCAACATCAGGGCCTTGATTAGCTTCTTCACCTGGTATGTAAATCATATTATTATTTTGTGTATGTACAAACATGCAGCCAGTTGCAGTAGATGATAAAGGAAGGAGGGGGGTCCCCTTCTTCACACTTACGGGTTTTTTCCTCCCCCTAAAGCAGAGCACTTGAACTGGGATTTCCAAGATGTGAATCAATAGGATCTACTACGGTCCGCCTTCAGCTATATTAAGATCCTAGTCCTCATCATCCTAGCTCTGAGAAGGCTCTCCAAATTATA